TTTGGAAACATTTGAAAAATTTTAATGAAAAAATAATGTAATAAAAAGAGTTAAAACAACTTAATAACTGCGAGACTTCTCTATTAGTAATCTTGCACTTTTCAGTTTTTTTTTTTGTTTCACATATTATAAAATATTTATAAAACTGAAAAATTCAAATAGGAAAATGAGTAATTAATTCAATTTAAAAAAAATAGAGTAGAGATGCATTAAAAACTAAATTACTTTATACATGAATAAAAAAAAAATTATTACATAAAATGTAGGAACTATTTGGAAGTCAAATAAGAAAAACAACCAAGATAAAAAATTACTTAAATTATTTTATATCAATATTTTTCGGTTTTATTTTGTTTATTTTCATGGATGATTTATTTATTTTTTTACCTTTTTAATTTGATTTTTTACGGGATATAAAATATTTTATCACAGGTTATAAAATATTCTATCACAAATCCGCATATATGCGGCTCCTTTATCTAGTATGTAATAAAGTTTCAAAAAAAATCACATATTCAAAAGTAAACAACTGTATTAGAGAGGAAAAATTGATAATGTGTTGTAAACAGAATGGAAACTGTAGCACACAAATATAACTTGAAAATAGAGATTTATATACTATATATATAAAATAGTCATTGTGCTTTTTCTAATGTATATTGCATTTTACTTTCCTAATTGAATTGCTAAGCTGTTATCTACTACAATTTTTCTATTCATCTAGTTAGTAGCGTGAACAAAGTATATAATTTGGTAGTTTTGTTGTGATCATATCTAATGTACAAATTACAATTGTAAAATTTGTCAATGTGATGAAGGTCACTGGAACAAAAGATTGATGGACAATTATTTTACTAGATGTCGATACTTATTATATACTCGAAGTCTAAGTATTTTGGTTGCATAATTCTCCATCAACACATACATCCATCTAGCAAACCATTACCAATGTTGTGTTCTACAACATCTTTCATCTTTCTTACGCTACCCAAAACGCTTCTCGCCCAATCGCTGAAATATGTCTCATTGTATCCGATCCTACCGTTCTTGTAGAGCGACATACATCGCCTATCCGAATCGAGAAACTGACATGTTTCCCCAACCGGATCACGCCACGAGCCTTCGTGTCTCATTCCTGACCAATTAGCTCCCCATTGGTACACAAACTGACCAATTCCTGCAAGCTTAAGCCATCCTTTAGGGTAAAACTCCATCACACTACTATTTCTATCCATTAGAACCAAATTAGTAAGTTGTGCACCATGTGGTGACACTAACACATCTGTCTTCCTCATCAGCTCCACTTGCTCACAAAACGTTAGACTGTTTGAATAAGAAACCTTTAATTCACACCCTTCTACTCTCTTACACTCCCTCTTAAAGATATTGATTACCGCTGACTCATTCTTGAACGATCTTGGTCTGGTTCTCATCAGCAATGTCATACCGATTCGCGGTTTTGATGACTTGGACAAGCTTACGTTACAGTAGTTTCTCGCTTTGCATCTAATAAGGTCAAACACTTCCAATCTTCTCTCCCTTGACATTCCACCTTCATTCTGTCTCATAACAACCGCCTTTTCGAAGCAAACCAGCTTCTCCTCATCAACAAACCGTAAAAACTCGGGTTCTTGGCCGTAATTCGCTGTGATTACCTCGCTCAACCAATGTCCCATCCCGAACCTTAGTTCCCCCCGGTGGAATAAAACCCATTTTTGAGGGTTTTCGCATTGGTTTCCTAAGCTCCAAGAAACAAACGGGATAGCTGCGGTTAGTCCGTGCCACAAGTTACCGTAATCGTAGTGATTATTACACACAAACGTCAAACCCTCCTGGAGAATGGCATTGATCGGAAGAGCTTCAGGCCAAGCCAGCGCGTAGTAGTTTCGTGACCCGTCATGCTCATCAAGCCCTTTCAAGCACAAAAGCCTTCCTTTAGAAGATTTTGAAGGAAATTCTTGAAAGTGAGCCTCTCCTTTGGTTTGGTTGTCATAGAGAGAGCTCATAAACCAAGTATGTCCCTCGAGTGGTTTGTTTGAAAAACGGTAGTCCTTGAGGGGAATAAATATCACCGATTCACGTAGCTTCTCCACCAAGTAAGCCGTCTGGTTATGAGATATTGGTTCAG